GGCTACATAGTAGTTGTACATACATATGGGGTACATGCGAAATTTTGATACAAGGATGCCATGCCTAATGATTAAATCAGGGTAATTGGGATATTCACCACATCAAACACTGGTCATTCTTTTAAGAATATTCCAATTTCACTCTTCTAGTTATTTTGAAATATACAATAGATTATAATTAACTATAGTTGTCCTATTGTGTTATGAACTACTGGATCTTATTCTTTCTATCTAACTGTATTTTGGTACTGATTAATCAACACCTGTTCATATACCACTCTCCCCACTACCCTTTGCAGCTTGTGATAGCTATTATTCTATTTTCTACATCCATGAGATTGACTTTTTGGCTCCTACATATGGGTGAGAGCATGAATATTTGGATTTCTGGGCCTGGCAAATTTCCCTTAACATAATGACCTTCAGTTCCATCTACACTGTTGCATGTGTTAATCCATTTTTGTTTTGCTATAAAGGAAATTCTGATGTTGGGTAATTTATAAAGGAAAGGGGATTATTTGGCTTACCATTGTGAAAGCTGTGCAAGAAGCGTGGCATCAGCACCTGCTTCTGGTTTGGGTCTTAGGAAGCTCACAATCATGGTGGAAGGCAAAGGGGGAGCAGATGTGTCATGGCAAGAAAGAGAGCAAGGCAGACAGGAGGGAGGTCCCAGACTCACATGAACCACCAGCTCTCACCTGAACTAATAGATCAAGGGCACCAAGCCATCCATGAGGAATCCATCCCCATGACCCAAACACCTATCATTAGGCCTCACCTACAACATTGGAAATCACATTTCCACATGGAATTTGGAGAGGACAAAGATCCAAACTATATAACTGCAAATGACAGAATTTCATTCTTTCTATGACTGAATAATATTCCATAAGGTGTTTATACCACATTTTCTTTTTTTTTTAAATTTATTTATTATTATTATACTTTAAGTTGTAGGGTACATGTGCATAACGTGCAGGTTTGTTACATATGTATACTTGTGCCATGTTGGTGTGCTGCACCCATCAACTAGTCATTTACATCGGGTATAACTCCCAATGCAATCCCTCCCCCCTCCCCCCTCCCCATGATAGGCCCCAGTGTGGGAACATCACTCATTTTTAACACATCTCTGGCTTCCTTATGTTCCTCTTGCCTCCATGCCTCCTGCTGGCCCCACCGTGCACACACACTCTGTGTTCTCACCTACCCATAAGAATGGAAACTCTGGCTTTTGCTGGGGTTCTGTACCCCAGGGCACAAGAAGGAACTGGGGTGGAATAGGCCTGGGCTTGACTAGGTAGTTCGTAATCTGCCTAGCTGGCAGCCATGGCACAGCAAACTTGAGCTGGGTGACCTCTACTTCATACTTTTTGTCATTGATAAAAATCACCGCACTTTGTTGACTTTGCTATTTCTACCCACAGAGGAATGTAGAAATACATGAAATCTGCTAAATGATCCATTTAACTATGTGGTAAACACTGTAAACCTGTTTACCCTGCCAAAACAGTCCCCTTTGTCATGTTTTACAGGGTCATTTGATTTAATTCCCTAAGTCAACACAGGGTTTGTTTTCTTATAAAGGAAAAGAGGATAAGGCTTATCAAAATTAATTGACTCAGGACAGTTTCCCTTGAGGGTAAACCAAAGGACAGTAGGAGAAAGGGTGCAAAGGAGCTTCTGGGTTCCAGTAATGGTGTTTCTTAATCTGGATGCTGGTAACTTGGGTTTCCCTTTGTGAACATCTATCAAGCTGTACACAGGATTTGCATTCTCAGCACTCTCACCGCAGCCTCCCCCTCGACCCTCTCCTCCTGGCTGGCTCCCCACATCCTTCACTGATTGCAAGAGAAATAATCTGGCTGCTTTGTGGTTATTGGTTTCATGTGTGTTTCTCACTAGATTCTAAGTCCACTGGGCTTGTGTGTCCCCTGGACCTGCTGCTGTGGACCCTGGGTCTGGTGCAGTGCCTGGCAAGATGGCATGAGAAACGGTTTGTAAGGGAATGATGGAGAGGCAAAGAGGGAGACAGAACAGTGGGGTTGGGGGAAGAAGACAGAAAGGAGAAGGGGAAGGAAGGAGAGAGGAAGAGTTATGTCTCTCAAGATCTGGGTATTCCGAGGCATGGCTAGAGGTGGGTGAGTGGGAGCACTCAGGAGTGTGCTGACATGATCGAGTAAGGAGTCTCTGGAGGAAGAAGTCTCTGAGAGAAGGTGGTCTCTCTGTGGGCAAGACTGGTTCAAGCACTGTAGCCTAGGTCCTTGAGGAGGGAGGATGGGGACCCTGAGCCTAGTCTGGCTCCAATTTTCTCCTGGCTCAAAGCAATTGCAGAAAAAAGAGCTATTTCTTTGCATTTCGTTAGGACACTGAACACTAAATGTCAGCAGCATGAGTGCGGGGGCCAGTCGCATGAGGGGCAGCCGTGGCGTGGCAGAGGAAGTGCGGCTATAACCACTGCACAATGGCAGTGACACATTTGCTACACCCACAGTTGCACTGGAAGAACAGCCCTCACAGGCCAGGCTTGGGCAGCCACAGCAGGATCAGTGTATTTAGTAGACACAGGTGGTGGCAGGGGAGGCCCCAGTGGGGCTCCGTGACACAGAGGCCATCATATACAGTAAAGGATGCATGCCCCAAAGGGCTGCATCTCAGGGCAGCTATGCAGTGCTCAGCAGGGAATGCCAGAAAGGCATTGGAAGGATTTAAGGGGCATGCCACATGGTCTGCAGAGTTGGAGCAAGTCCAGCTAAGAACTTACTGTTAGGTGTTGCCCAGTTTATAGCCCTTGGCTGGAATTCTCTGGAAAACACAAATCACTGAGAGTTGGCTTCTAAAGAGCACCTATAAATGGGAAGAAGAACACCAAAGAATCAAAGATGCCAGAAAAGAAAACAGCCCCTGGGATTTGTGAACAGGTGTTCTTGACAGGGTCCCTCACCTAAGCCATTCTTCCGGCACAATTATCACCCAGAGCTGCTTGTTTCTTGGCACCTAGAACACTCCATCGGGAGCTGTTTCCTTTTTTAACTCAATACTCCCAAAGACTGCTCTGGGGATAACAGCTCCCACTCTCAGGGGGAAAAATATCTTTTTAGAGATGGGAGATGACAAAACCATCATCAATAAGCAAGAAAACTCCCAATTATTTTTCTTGAGACACTGTCTTGTGATACATCCTTGTGGGTAGGGCTTCCTGAAGCTTTTTCTCACCATTTTTTCTGAAACTATGACTTTCCAACATTTTTCATTGCATACCCTATTAGTAAAATCATTTTGAACATGCACCACAAATATCTGCATATTTATTCTCTGATTATATTTATGCAATAGTGTGTGTGTGTGTGTTGTTTACTGTATTTATAGTGAAAGTTCTAATAGAAGGTGTCCGCTGGGGTGCAGGCATCCCACTAAACAAACACAAGGCAGACAGGGCAAGCATCATACTCCTCAGCTCATGGATTAGTAGACTAAGCCTTGGAGGGAAATAGACTTGACTAGGTCACATAGCCAAAAGTTGCAACACTGGGGTTAAAACTGACTTCCGTACTTTCCAGCTTCTCAGATTTTTCATTCATATGCCTGTAATACCTACCCTTGTTTGTGTTACTAACTTTGTTTTTAGACTCTCCTTTTCTCGCTTAATCACTTAGCCTTGTTTCCACATGAATAAGCTCTCCCTTAGCTGAGAAAGCCAGACGAACTCCATTAAGCTCCGTCATTTGCAAGGCTTCAGGGACTCCTTACCCACCCCCTTCCTCAAGGAGTTAACTTGACTCTCAACATATCAGAGTCAAATTAACTGATAAGATACTGAAGCAAGCAATGTACAAAGTTCCCAAGATTTTGCTCAAGAGATAACACCGTAAAGCCTTGAGTTTGTGTCCGGCAGAGCCCACATACATAACATCTTATGAAAGATTTAGAGCCCCTGCACGTGGAAATTGTTTGTTTCTCTGTAATCATTTGTCTTCTTAACTATTTACATGTTTTTACTTCTGTAGAATTGTTGCAACTGAGCTCCCCTCCCCTTCCTAACCAGAAGTATAAAAGAAAATCAAGCCCCTTCCTCCAGGCGGAGAGAATTTTGAGTGTTAGCCGTCTCTCCATCGCCGGCTAATAAAGGACTCTTAAATTCGTCTCAAAGTGTAGCGTTTCTCTAACTCGTTCAGGTACAACATGCCAAATATCCCTTTCTACTCATCAGAGTTTGGGAATGGACCAGTCATATCAGTTTTTGGTAATTTCCACATTGTTTCCCTGCTTTACCTATTTTATCGTTATTGCCTATAGCATAAGGTATGCTATGCCATCAGGGTTCTGGAATTGGCTTCTAAAGAGCACCTATGAATGGGGAGGAAGAACATCAAGGAATTAAAGATGCCAGAAAAGCAAACAGCCCCTTGGATTTGAGAACAGGAAACATGCACTTTACACACCTCATCTCTTTCTGTCCCATCCAGTAAGCAGGGATGATGCAGAGACCTTCCCTGGGTCTCGCCTTGCCCAGGAGTTAACGTGTTCTACGATGTGTTTGTAGAAAGAAGATGGTCTGTCTAGTAGAAAGAGATGTGATGTGATTGACATGGAGTGGCCACTCTTGACACGGGAGACATGGCAATTGTACTTCCCTATATGAGAATGAGGCTGGAAGGAAGGTTGCTTCCCTCAGTCTTTTCTCAGCAGAGGTGTTTTGTAAAACAAAACCAAACAAAATACCAATTCCCTGAAGCAGAATAAAGATAAAGAAACTTAAATATCTGGAAACAAGAAAACCACAAGAGCCAAGAAATGGGCAGCTCAGGGGCCCCAGGAAGTGAGGTGGGATCAGGCAGAAATAGGCTTGGGGAGGAGGATCTGGAAGCTATTGCTGTTTACAGCCAATGTCCTCTCTCTCTCCAACAAGTGGCAGGCCACTGCCCAGTGCTGAAGTCACTGTTTAACGAAGGTGGAGCCTGCCTTTACCTGGTACACCCATATAAGGAAAAGCCTGAGGGCAGGAGCAAGCAGACACCAGCACTGCTCTTTCTCCAAGACTGCCGGCCAGCCGGCCATGCTCTCCTCTGCCAGTCTCCTCCACCACTCTCTATCCCTAGAGCCTGTGGAACCTGCCCGTCTCCCCTCCTCCATCAGACGCACCTGTCTAGGAAACAGGTAAGATGTGAGTGGTCATCTCCCAGAGCTGTGGACCAAGGCAGCCCTCTAAACATTAGTGAGCATGTACAATTTTCTAGAGAGCTTCATGATGTCAATTCTGAGTTCCCACCTACCAAGGTACACATTTAATAGCTCTGGAAACTGGGTGTTTTTGATGCAAGTGGTCCAAGGATATGCTTTAAGAAAAACTAGGGCAAAGGGGGACTTCTAAGAGAAGCTAATCCAAACTTTGCATAGTTTAAGCAAAGACAGTATTTCTTAATCATTCTGTCACCTTTGATTTCTGCTCATTCTAAGTTGTGACCTTGAGGGCTGTGTTTGTCATAAGGACACATTGATGGCAGAAATCATGCTTTCTTTGCGCACTGATGTGTAGTTTCTGATAGATAGTAGGTACTTAATAAACATTTGCTAGAGGGAAGAAGGGGACCTGGGCCCTTTGTTTTCTAATCATCTAGTTTATTAGTTATAGGAATGAAGTTGACAACTCTGGGTTAATCACAAAAGATGGATCATTACAACTTCAGAGATTCAGGAGGTTCCTACATGCCTCTAGTGGTGTCATGGTCACACATGTGTGTCTCTATAACTGCTAAAGTTGTGTAATCTTTGAGATGTGATGCTGTTCCCAGGGAGACAGTTCCAGCTGCTCCGCTTGGACCCAAGTCAACCAGATTAGAATACGTGCAGATATTTTCCCTCTATAGTTGTAGTTGGGGCATGAACTATACTGACTGTCCCATTTGTCCTGGATCACAAGCACAACTTTGTTTACCCCCAAGTGGCATTAACTTGACTTTCAGTCAGATTATCCTCTTGAATTGTCTCACCTTTGTACCCACCTTGACACAAGTGTTGTGGGTTTTTTGTTGTTATTGTTGTTTTGAAGTTTGGAGGAGTGACAGCTGCAGGAAGGCTTACTTGTTAGTAGATTGGTTGATGGAAATGTAATAACCTACCAACTGTGTAATAGGCAAAAGGTTTATGTAGCATAAGTTCATTATCCCAATTTGTAGATGGAAAAAGTGAGGGACCTGATGAGTGACTTGCTGCTAAAGTTTATTCCAGATGCACATGACAGAGCTCGAGTTCTGTTGTGCCTGGTAGGTACCCTGTCTTGTCCCCTAGTTATTTGGTTGTATTCAGTTACCGTCTTGAAAGGACACCTTAGAAAAAAAGGTGCTATGAAGAAATGCACACATAAGGTCAAGCACTGTGGCTCACACTTGTAATCTCAACACTTTGGGAGGCCGAGGGGGACAGATTGCTTGATCCCAGGAGTTCAAGACCAGTCTGGGCAACATGGCAAAACCCTGTCTCTACAAAAATAAATTAAAAATTGGGGATCTGGGAAAAAAATATTAGCTACATGTGGTGGCGCACACCTGTAGTCTCAGCTACTGGGGGCAGGGGGAGGGGTGCCATGGTTGAGGTGAAAGGATCGCTTGAGCCTAGGAGGTTGAGGCTTCAGTGAGCTATGATCATGCCACTGCACTCCAGCCTGAGTGACAGAGCAAGACCTTGTCTCAAAACAAACAAACAAACAAACAAACAAAAATCACCAACCTGCTGGCCTGGAGGCTCACTCCGTATCAAGCATTGTGCCTGATACTTCCACACGGTGAGCTGTGTGATTTGGGGCATACTCCTTAACCTCTTGGAGGTTCTCAGTTTCCTCATCGCTAAAACATGGTAGCAACAGTAATCTACCCCAAAAGATCAGTGAAAGGATCAAACGAGATCGTATATGGAAAACACTTAGCAGTACTTGAGCACATGGCAAATGCTGAAGACATTTTAGTCATTATTGTTGACATTATTTTAGCCTGGGTTCTCTACAAAACAAAGCCTGAGGCAAAGCTTAAGTGCTACTTAGCGCTTAAGGTAAGACACCAGGGGAGTGAGAATCAGGGAAGTGGGAAATGAGAGGAGAAAGGGGGAAGCAGTGAGGGATGATGTGCCACCACCTGGCCTCTCTTCACGAAGAGACATGGCCAGCCACTTGGCCAAAGCAGGACCCCTCTGGACTGGCACTGCAGATGCATTGTGCCTTGGAACAGTCCACCCGAGCAAGGGTAAAGAGGACATTTATCTGTTGGCTCACTCTCTCTCTTCTATTATTGTTCAAAGCTTGCCCTATGGGGAGTTAACTGTCCTGCACTTCCAGCTTGTGTCTTCTGACCCCCATGGCAGCCAGTGGGAAAACTAGATCTAATTGCTAGAGGCTTGGCACCTCATCTGAGTCCAGAAGTGGTCAGAAGAGCCACTTCCTTGGATGGAGTAAAAAAGGGACCAAGAGTCCTAGAGACAGGTTGAGGCTAACAGAACCTGAGATAGCACCTAAGAAAGGTTTAATAAAGACTGAATTATCATTAATATCTGCCGAGCACTGTGTATGGCACCAGTGTTCCTGCCTAGATGTCACCTCTTTCTCCCATGAGAAAAACCATAAAGGGGACCTTGGATAGGCTGGCCCATTCCATCTCTCCTCAGTGTTTGGAAGAAGTCAGGTTGAGGGCATCCTAACTCTCTCAGAATTGTCCATGGTGTAGCATGCCACTGATAGACAGCAAGAAAGTCCACAGCCATGGAAAACATCAGAGCAGAATCAAGAGGAGGTGTTGATTTTCTACCCCCCTTGGGACTCTATCTTTTGGACAAGCGTTTCCTAAAGCATGGTTTACATACAACACTAATTTTGGGGGCTGTTGCTGGGGACTCCTTGATATAAAGCATTTATGATCAAATATTTGGAGGAATGTTGCCTCCTACTCTTCCCTCCTCAGAGAGTTATGATTCCAATTAACTTAAAAAGGCTCTGTTCACACCTGTAATCCCAGACTTTGGGAGGCCAAGGCAGGCAGATTGCCTGAGGTCGGGAATTCGAGGCCACTCTGGCCAACACGGTGAAACGCCATCTCTACTAAAAATACAAAAAAATTAGCCGGGTACGGTGGCATGCGCCTGTAATCCCAGCTACGTGGGACGCTGAGGCACGGGAATTGCTTGAACCAGGGAGGTGGAGGTTGCAGTGAGCCGAGGTCGTGCCACTGCACTCCAGCCTGGGTGACAGAGTGAGACTCTGTCTCAAAAAAAAAGGCTCTGAGAAGGCCAAAACAAAGGAACCAGTTGAACTGAGTGCACCAGAACTTCCCATACTGAACTCCAGTTGAAAACACAGCTTTGGACCATGTGTTCATGGGCTCAGTCTCTTTTGTCTTGATTCCTGAATTACCAGGGGACTCTTCTCCACTACACACTACTTTTTGCTTTGCACAAACCCTGTTGAATAAAAAACTCTGCAGTGTAAGGGAAGGCTGTGTGGTGCATGAGATGCTTTTACCAATCTGCAGAGCTCGTTCTCCCAGGAAACAACCAGGAAAGTTCAGTCAAGCCTTGTTTCCTCATCTCAATAATGAAGAGTGAACCAGGCGATCCCCAAGGGGTCTCCCAGCCTCTTGTCTCCCAGCCTCTTGTAATCCATGATACTCATGTTGAAAGGCAGCTAAAGGTCACCTCGTCTACCTCGTGCATTGCCTCAGAGATAGACTAGCGAATAAAGAGATGCAAATTTTTAAGACAAGTTGTAGGGGTATGAAGTGGAGGTTTGCCCACTGCCGCCCTCTCTGGTGAGTTGAACATGAGATGGGATGGGTACCATGTCCCACAGTAGTGGCCGGAGCGATGAGCTGCCTCTAAGGACTTGCGCTGGAGGACAGCCAGGACTTGGGGGTTAATATCCTCACTTCAGCCAAGTAAGTCGCGAGGGATGTTTAAAACTGGGAGTAGCCAGGAGGTTTATTTCCTTTCCCTCTGAAATAATGGTCCCTCAGGCAGCACTCTGCCCTCTGATCTCCACTGGACAGCCCTGCCATGTCCACCTCCCATGCCTGTGGACCAGGGTCTGACCAGCACCTCCCACACAGCTCAGAGAACTGAGCCAGACCCCGTCCCAGCCTGCAGACCAGAGACACGAGGGGCACTGTCTCCATCAGAGCCACACACCTGCCTTCAGGAGATGCACCCAGGGGCCCATTAGAGACCACTGGTTCTCAAGGGCCTGAGGCCGGAGAGGTGATGGAGAGATGACAGGAAACTTTGCCCCCATTCTCCTCACCAAACATTCTCTCTTCTCCCCAGTCTAATCCTTAACCAGATGTGGCTGTCAATCAGCTGAACTACATATACCATTAAGCCCCATCTCAGGAAGCTCTAGCTTTCTTGCAGGAACTTAAGATACTGTCAGACAGCATGACCCTGGCGGGAGATGAGGGCAGAGGCTTTCTGCAGGGGCTGGCTCCTGGGACTCCAGCCAAAAGACCACCCCAAGCATGTTCTGTCAACCCAGGGGCTGTCCTGAGCCAATGCTACCATCCCCTCAGACCTGTCCTCAAACTGTCTTCCTCCTCAGCCAGGTCATCTTCCCTAGGTGGGCACGGGGATTCCCCACAGCTCCCTGCCTGTTCTGGAACATAGGCTAGACAGCAAGAGGGGCGGAGGTCTCCCGGGACTGCATCTCCCTCTCTTCTCAGGCAGAGGCTCCCAGGCCTGTACCCCCTGCCCCAGGTCCTGTCCTTCCCACCATCTCCCCAGTGGGCCCTGCACGAGCTGGTTTTTAGGTCATTTATGCTCCTCTCTCTTTCCTCTGTCTTTCCTTCTTGCCTTCAGCCCTCGCCTTCAGAAGCTCTGGCTCTCCCCGTTTCTTAGGGCTGGAGAGGGAAAGAATGACAGAAGGAACAAGGGAAACCTCAGAGGCCTAACCACCACCCTCCCCAGCCTGCCTTTCTCTGCTTCACTCACTCACTTAGACACGTTTACATTCGCATTTACACACACACACACGCATGCACATACACATTCTAAGCTCCTTCTTTTTCTTGTTGCCTTTTAACATATTTAATATAGAAAGCTCTTATTTTTGAAAAACATTTCTCCTCCCACTGGTCCACACCCTGACCCCAGAGATGGGACCCCACCTGCTTGGATGGAAGCTTGCT